ACCTGTTTTGCTAGGTTCCTGCAGAAGAGTCGGAGCAAGCTCTCAAAGTTATTGTGTTGACTGACTTAAAAGTGTAGCTCATGCACCAGATAGTTGAGCAGGTTACACTGAGCAAAAAGAATTAGAGCTGAAATAGCATAACAGACGAGTTCAGTGAACAATGGTCATAAACCACTGCTCAATGTCAAGGAAACTTCATTCTCTGTTTTCTACCTTGAGTCGTTTGCTATTTGAGAAGGGTTTGGATTTTGAAATATGAAAGCCTGTGTAGCTTTTACCAGGCACCCAACAGAATAATTTATATTTTGCTTTCCAAGCTGCTTAAATTTTTAACTATACTTTGAGCCTAGTTTATATATTTTATATCAAATGATTGATGCAGCCCGCTGTCTTAAGACAGGTTCACCTACTTTTCATTTAATCACTGTGAAAGAGGTCTAAATGTACTGCAGGAGAAAGGGAGGTTTTTCTGGCTAGAGAAATAAGGATTTCCTTGTGAAGTTATAGCGTGTTTCTAACCACAGCTCTCTGCCTTTAAATTGCCTCTACTCTTTTCCAGAATTTCTGCTGTCTGAAGGCAAAAATCAGTTGTTGCCAGCTTCTTTTTTTTGTCCTTTAAGGTTATAGTACCTTGAAAGTGACCCATTCTCTGGCCTACTGCTTTACCAGGACTAAGCGTGTGTTACCTTTTGTGTCCAGCGTGGAATGGCAGATTGCTGGAATACATGAAAAATAACAAATGAAGTGTGCTGTTGTCATCTCAGCGTCCATTCCTGTTCTAGGCTTGCTCATTATTTTGTAACAGTGAAAACAGTGGTTGGAAAGGTAGTTACATATTTAGGGATAGCTTTTAGCCTGGGGCAGACAGCAAGGCCCTCGCTGGGGGCAGCAGGAAGGGGCCCGGTGCACCGAGCTGGCCCTTGTCCCTTTGTGTGCTCTGCCCTCCTCAGGGACAGGCGCAGTTAGACCTTGCCTAATTACTTCATTTTTTGATATAAACACTAATTATGTTCAGCACAGTCCAGCATCTGTACAGTTGTGCCAGTGATGGATTTTTCTACTATAGCACAGCAGGTTTTTAGCCAACAAACTAATAGGAAAGATTCAGTTTCATGAAGTGGCCAGTTATTTTGATGACCTGCTGGCTCTCTAGTCATAGTTGTCAGGGAACACTTCGTGTGTTTTTTGAGTCACTCAGTATGAATGTATTTTCAGATGCTTTATGTAGAGCTACCAAAGCATCATTACGATTAAGGAGCACACAAATATTTCAGTAGAGAAACCACACCTACATCCTTCAGGTGTGTTGGAGTATTTTTGAACTGTCATTAATAGCACTGTAAATCAACACCAGAGCTAAACACTTTCTGTAACAAAATGTAAAATTAGTTGACATCTTTTGCACTTGATGATAAACAACAAAATTCCCAGTATTTTCAGCCATCTGGTCCAGTAATTTTTCTGTTTCACAACAGCATTAAATAGCATTAGGTGCAGCTTCAGAAGCTGTAATAGCCTGAAACCCAAGCATCTTAGACTAAGCATGCCAAAACTTAATCTCCAAGTCTGTTTATAAATTGAGCTATTTATACTAGTTCCACATTCTCAATAAAATAAAATAAAATAAAATAAAATAAAATAAAATACCACCTTGTATTAGCAAGAAAGCTGATTAATATTTTTTTTTGGCCAAATTACAAATGCTGTTGCCGATGTTACCTGGCAATGAAATGCTCGTCCTTGGCTGCCTGTGCTCTCTTGGGAAGAAGTGAGGTTCTCAGCTCTGTTGTGAATGGCTTTACAAACTTTGACGTAAAAGAGAAGTACTTAGTATCAAAATGACTTTTTCTTTACTTTTTTGACTCGTGACACTAAACAAGGTTTCATTATTTTGTAGCAATTAAAACACTTTATTGAAATGATTGAATGGGGAGAGGAAAATCATCTATTTGATAGGATGAATTTGGCTTGTAAAGACAATCAGAAAGGCCATTCAGAGTAGTGAATTGTACCCATTGGTTTGTTTATTCTTGCAAGGCAGAAGAAACACAGAGTAGAAATTACTTGTTTGGTGAGGATGGCAACAATTTCATTGAACTTGAAATTGTTTCAAAATTTCTTCAAAAATCCCATCGCTCCTGAGGACCATGGCAGGAAAGCAGACCTGGTGTATGGATCATCTTTAGAAGTTGGTCAAAATCAGATAGAATTTGCAAACTTTAAATTACCATATTCTGAGAGAAAGGGAAGAACGGTCGGACTTCTTTAAACGTCGTACAGCTAATCAGCTAGGCAATAATTCAGCCAAGGGTTTCAGAGTACATAATGAAGCCTTAAATAGAAGTGTGTTTGTCATTTGGCTTTTCTTCCATACCTGACCAAGCCTGGATACTTGCATGCAACCTACCCAGAGATTTTCGATAACGCACATTGTTGTCTCCTGTAGCAGATCCAATTTATTTCTTTCTTTTCAAGTTTATAATGGAGTGATTTTCTACCTCAGTACAGTCCAAAATATAAATAGTCTGGTTTTTTAAAAAATAAAGAACTAGAACAACCTTAAGTCATTAAAAATAGAGAGGAAACCAGACTAAACTTGCCTTGTCTGTACCCCACACTAGATGAATGTTAACACACACCATCCGTTACCAAGCCTGACGACTCTTGCCAGTTGTCAACCTTTCAGTTTTTGGCTGCTCTCATCTTTCTTCCCCTCTTTTTATAACTCACAACCTCTTCTGCTTATTAGGTCTGTTTGATGTACCTGGCTCTATTCTATCTGTCTTTGAGAAAAGATTACAAATAATCTAATGATTTATGTTGTTTATTTGTCTTGCTGCTTTTTTTTTAAGGTCACTGGCCTTGGGTAAACTGGTTTAAGCTCTCCTTAGTGAATCTTCTGCGTGTTAATTGACAAATACGGCTCCACACTCTTCACCTTTCAACTCATGTTTCTGTAGCATCATTCTTTAGGCAGTTGTCTATCACTGAAAGTTTTTTCCTCCTTTCAATCAGCATCCCTTAGAGCGTTCCATCCTTCTAGCCAAAGGAGGAGTGAGGGGTTTTGGTTTTGTTGTTTGGTAGTGGGGAAGAGCTATGGAGATAGCCGTGTAAGAAGCTGCTAGAGAAAGCTCCCCTGGCTCCAGTGTCAGACCCACCTCTGACCAGGGCCAGGCCAATCAGCGCCCCTGCTAATTAATATATTTAAGGGGGTATGCAGTGCACTATTTCTCTCTCTCTTGGGCACCAGCCCAACCAGCACAGCCCCAGGTGCGGGCGCCACGGCCCCAGCCCTGCCCAGCCCCAACTTCACCTTAAGCCCCGCTGCAGCTCCAGCCCAAAGGAGAGAGCCAGGAACTCTTCAGAACCATCAGAAGAGACCTGGAGCAGAGAAAGGAGAGGGACATGAGAACAACTGTGCAGACACCAAGGTCAGTGAAGGAAGAAAGGAGAGGGTGGAGGAGGAGATGTGCGGAGATGAGATTCCCCCTGCAACCCATGGTGAGAGCCAGGTCGACTGCCTGCAGCCTGCAGAGTTCACTGGTGGAGCACGGCCACATGAGCAGTGGCTGGCCCTGAAGAAGCAGTGACTGTGGGGCGTGTGA